AATTCGAGACAGACCGAAAAATATTTACTTTTGGAAAAAAATTAAGAACAACACCTGGAGACATTTTTCAAAAAAATGTGAAAATGTCTTTGAGGCTTCATGTAAAGTAACTCCGAAATCAAAATATCCGCTTCCAATTCCCTGTCTCAAATGGCTCGTTTGTTTTGATTCAAATTCAAGGAGCCACGACAACAGACAGCCGCTCCAACCGGAACAAACTGTAAGCTCCCATGTGGTAGTTGTAGTGCACATATGTGTGTAAGTAAGGGAAGAGGATAGGACAGTGAAGAGGAAGGATCGTGCGTTGACTGGTCTCCCGGCATGTGTGTTTGTGTATCGCGTGTCAGTAAGTGTCTGTGTGTGTGTGTGTGTGTGTGTGTGTGTAAGGGATAGGAAATATCGCGCGCGGTACGTAGCCCGTTTGTTAGTGTACTGCTCCGGCATTCGTCTGGCGTTGATCGAAGAAACCACGGAAAACTACCGATCAGAGCGGCCCGACTTTCGATTCTCCTCCAGACAGCGGCTGAATTCGGGCTAGCAATGTAGCGAGGGTCGAAAATCTTGCCATTGTCGAGACTTCTTAGGACCTTCTGGTCAGAGGTCTTCCAATGACATCAATCGATACCTTGAGCCTCGTATGCCGATCTCGATATTCGTCCGACCCGCGTGTTCCGCCCACTACGTGTTCAGCCCTTCGCGCTACTTACCTGCGTCGTACAGTCGAGTCTTCCCTGGGTCTCGTCTTCCCTGGGTCTCCACAGCGCTGTGGCGAATCCTCGACTGCCAGAGAAAGATGCAGAAATCGAATGCATTCCCTGACCTTCCGCCTCCGACCAGTCAAACCGGTTTTACCCTTATACTTTATACATATTTGGACGCGGTTTACTCCCGCTGCTTTATACGTACGTATTTCGTGTTTTTGGAGCAAATGTGGTTTATGTGGTGCTTCGCATTGTCTGCAGGAAGTGGGCCAGATCCAATCGCCAGCCGAAGTCTAAGGTCGGTTGTGATTCATAGCAGTGTTTTTTAATCATATTTGTTCTTGAAGGAATACATCGTTTAGTATTATTACTTTCAAATGTGTTTTTCCACTTAAGCTAGTTAAAATATCGAAGCTAACTTAATCTATTCATTGAAGAGGATACTCTAGGAGAGAGCCTAGGAGTTATGTTTTATGGTTTCTAATATTTTGAGAAAGGCTTCAAAAGGGCATCTATTTTTTATTTGGGTGTGGGTTGGATTTTTCGGTAGTTTGAAATAGGATGCTGCTGGAATGTCTGTTAGATTTTGGTAGAGCATAACAGTGTTATTCATCAGCGTTAATTATTACGTACATTCCATTACAATACAGGAAACTTAAGTGGTCAGCTCTAATGAGTGGAATTAGAAATTTTTATGGATATAGGGTCTTCATTTATCACTGGTCAAATTACGAGACATGCAATTCTGATGAAAAATTATAATATACAGAAATTTTAAAACTTACACAAATTACGCTAGTATACTGAGTGAAGTTTGAAAACAAATTACGAAACAGAAAAGTGAGAGCAATTTTCAAAAGAAATGCCCTAAAAACATAGTAGTTTCTCCTAATATATTTTTCTTCTACATGATTATTTATATTATTTATTATAATATTGGCATTGGAGGATCATTTTCCACTTCGTAAAGCTTACACATTCCCGAATTGCCAGTACCACCAGGGGGAGAGAAAGAACTAGTAACTGATTCGGGGACAGTAGGAAGTTTTGTCTGTATTGTACATGCCCCACTGGTTTGAAAAACACAGCCCTAACGCGTTCAAAACGATCTTCGGGGCTATTAATATAATCTCTCTGTGCTCATAACACTCGCCATCGAAGATAATGCGTTTGATGTAGCCCTTACGAGTACATGCAAACACGTGCTCTTTGGTCGCCCTTCATTGGCAACCTGATCATGACGCGCTACCACGTGATCTTTTACACATTACCCTTTCTCAAGGAGAGTGTGACAGCCATAGTACTCCAGGAAAATTTTTTCAATGGGCCGTGCGCGAATCGTGGGTTTCGTGCTTGTTTTCCGTGTGTGAAATAGCTAGTTTTTTCACAATGTGCGAAACATCGCGAAGTGTAATTTTTTTGACTTGTCTCTTACGTCGTTAATATTTACATTAGCAGTAATTTGTTCACACTGATGAATATATGTGCTTTAAATAATGTCAGATAAATCTTCCACGAAAACTCAACCGTTTTCTGTCAAAACAAAATTTTGCAATTTCAGGAACGCTCAAAAACGACTTCAAATTTATTCTTCAAATTTTTAGAAAGGATAGTGCTAACTGCGCTCTTTAATATGACGTAAAGTTCAGTTCGAAGAATATTTTATTGTAAGTAATATTTTATTGTAAATAATATTTTGTTGTAAATAATATTTTGTTGTAAATCATATTTCTGTTATGAAGTTTATTTAAAAAACGTACTTTGAGCGGTGATAGATTGCAGCTCGCAAGATGTGGCTTGTTTGTATAGCTAACAGGATCCAAAGGAAATAGAAAATAATAGAGGAAAGTCCATTACGTACTACCACTAGTTTGAAATTCCAAAAGTTTAAATTTTTTTGCGTTTTTTCTGCAACTACAATATTGAATAAGCGATTTTTCTCTGAATGAAATACGTTCTTTAAAAACAATCTTAAAATAAGGTTATGTACAATTTTTCGAAAGTATGATTAGTTGTGGGGAAATGTGCTTGAAACAGACAATTTTTAGACAATTTTAACCTACATTTTCTGAAAAAAGGCTCTAAATATTTTCTTTATATTTTTTCCGTGGCAAAGAAACAGTGCTCATGCCATTTTCGGTGCACTCTCTACATTTTCGAAAAATGTAAACAACAACAAATAGTTCACCTTGAGAAAGTAAAATATGGACGATGGATATTTTGTTTAAATATAGTGTTCTGAAGTATAAGTTCTTAAAAAGGTGATGTACTATTTTTATTATTAATATTAGTATTTTCGTGTAATTTTTCATTTTTTGAAATGGCCAATTCAAGTTTCCGTCATTTCTTTTCGTAGAATTTTTCAGCGATTACAAAAAGAGATGTAGTTATTTAAGATGAGTAATTTAATTAATTAATTAGTAATCAAGTCAAACCTGTTTTCTCCTGCTTTATAAAAAGGTATTTCGATGGGTTTATTCTTACTGTTTCTTAGGTACTTCCCGTTTTAGAAACACAGTGATTTACGTTTAAGGATGTAGAATCTACATTTATCACATGTCAAATTACGAAACAGGTAATTATTAGATAAAATCGTCATATATTTAAAAATTTTCACATTTTACACTACTATGCACAATGAACAAACAAAATACAAAACATATGAAATAACAACTTTAACAAAAAATCCCTACATACGTAATTATTTCTGTCGATATTTTTCCTATTCCTTAGTCAGATGAAATTAATAATATGTACTTTTAATATATCTGCTTGAATGCGGTTATTGGAAATTTATACTTTTGAGTACACACGAGATCGCCTTCTTAGCGACCTTGACAATTCCCATCACCAAAAGTCATGAGCCATCTCTTCCGCCTTGCTTCATGTGAAACGGAGTTTACAACACGAGCGAACTACACATTGCAATGAACGATTTTCACACAAATGCCACGAAAATATATGTAACTTCAAATTAACTTCTCCTGATAGCACGCCACACTCAGTTTTAAGTGTTTTTGACGTAAATAAATAAATAGGTAATATTGTTTACGAAATGAATTCTCGGCTGTCCGGGAGACGCCGCGTCGTTGGCTGGGGTGCCGACGTTTCGCCCGACATTTCGCAGGCTTCCTCAGGGTAGTGAGGGTCGGGCGAAACGTCGGCACCCCAGCCAACGACGCGGCGTCTCCCGGACAGCCGAGAATTCATGGATTCGAGCCGCGGAAGCTTACGTACACATTTGTTTACGAAATTACAAATCAAATGATTGTTTTGAAAAAAAAACAATTATCATTAGATCTTATGAACCAAATAATCGGCCCACCGCTAGGGACCGTGACACAATTTTCTGCCTACGATCGGGGCACAAAAGATCCTTTTGCGATAATTATATTATTGGAATTGGAGGAGTAGACTCCACTTCGTAAAGTTTACACTTTCCCGAATTGTCAGTTCCACAGGGCGGAGTGAAAGGATTGGTAGGTAACGCAGGGGCAGCAGAAGGAACTAATGACATTGGAGTTCTCTGAACTTTACAACTCTGATATCCATCAAATGCAAGGTTGAAAAAAATGCTCTCGTGCTCCAGTGACTTACAAAGTATCTTCCAAACTCGTCCAAAACTATCTTCCCAGGCGCCTCTATTTGAATCTCCCTATCCTCGTGGCACTCGCCATCGAAGATCATGCGTTTGTACCCCTTAGGGCAGCCACCCCGCACGTGCACACACGTGCCCTCCGCCCGCCCCACAGAGGCTGCGTGGAGGTCCAGGGCCACAATGTGATCTTCTGTGCAAGGGCCTCGTTTTAGTAGTGCGTGGCAGCCGTCGTATCCCGAAATAAGAATCTTTCCCTTGGAGAAGCACACGCCTTGATCGGATCCGCATTTTACTTCTTTTGAAAGTTCATATTGGAATAGTTCGTCAATCAACATTGAATGTCTTCGATCTGGGTTGTGAAAATCAGGAATGACACAATATCCGTCTTCTTCAGGCTGTTGCATGCTGATTGGTGTGATTGGCTCTACACGGCATTCCATGCCGCCCAGAATATGACGCGTGAGTGTCGCGTGGGGACCGCAGATGACGTCACGTACCAATTCTTTCCGGTAACAGAGCCCATCGTATGCCAAGAGATATCCAGAACATTTCCAAAGAGATTCTGAACAGGAACTAATGACATGACCATATCTAAAAGCAGAAGTAAATTATTATTAATACTTTGTACCTGTGACGGCTCGGGGTTAAATAACATGATGTTTCTGCACCGCTAAATTAGAAGTTGTATTCTTCATATTACTTCAATTAAAATTTGGTTTTGCGAGTTCAAACACTGAACAAAAAATACAATTTATTATTTTTGAACGAACATTCCTATACTTGGTGACATTTTCATTGAGTTTCTGAATATTTGACCAATACGCAGATTCAGTTTAGATTACATTTACTGTGCCAGGAAGTGGTAAATGAACTTGATTATGAAGTGTGACTACGAATTATCGTGAGTTTTTATTTTTTTCCATTTTTTGAGAAGGGGTAAGAACATATTTTCGTACTGTCTTTGGCTACGCACGTTCCCAACCAAACCCAGAAAAGATCATCCAATTAATTACATCTGCATATCTACTTGTTTCTTCCATATTTCTTTACCGAAACGATTTGTAAACGTCTTGCCACGGATGCTGTCTAAAACTTCGAGTTCTATTTCCGGAAGAAGCCTACCTTGTTCTCTTCCACGCACCTTTTCCACATAAACCAATGAAGAAATGGCAGTTCTATAAGGCGACTCACCGAATTAATTTTCGACCCAATATCATCTTCGCAATATGAGTAGTTAATGAGTCATCTTCGCACACGCCTACAACTACGCATTATAAAAGCACGAATCACTACACACAAGACAAAACATCACCGGAAAACTTGCAGGGTTGCTAGATGGTTAAATGCATATCCCGGTTTTCTGTGATTTCCGCGATCCATACCAGGCGAATGCCGGAGCGGTACCTTAACAAATCAGCCACGGACCGCGGGTGATATTTCCTTCCTATTCCTTGCCCTATCCTCACCCCTTCTATGCACTTACATGCACTACACTAGCACTCGTGCCGGGAGACAGGTCGCGAGCTTAGGGCTCGGCTGGGCTGGGGCGGTGCACTGGTGGGAGATACCTGCATGAGGAAAACTCCGTTAGCCGACAGGTAGGTCGGTGCCGGAACTCACCATCTAAGGGAGGAGATCACTGCCACCTCTCAAGGAAACGACTTGCACTAAACTAACTAATGACGTTAGCAGTAGTCGCGCACCGAATCACTAATCAATCAGTCAACGCAAACAGAATCAAATCAATATTATTTTCTCTAAACATCTCCACATTAAATGTTTCCCTTTTTTTTGCATTGCTGTGCCACTATCCACTTAACCTTTCTCCACTTACCCGTGGTCTAGTTCCGTTCTGTTAACTGCCGTGAGTGTTTTTCCGTCTCCGCATATTTCCCATAACGGCTTACATCTGTCAGAAACCGGATCGAAGGTGAGGTTGTGCCGGAAGCAGACCTTGTCGTCGCGGGTGCAGGGCACGGGGCGGCCGATGAGGGAGTCGTTGGCGAAGTAGCGCTTGTAACCACGCAGCCCCACGGGGGTGGACGGGTTGGGGGGCGGGATGCAGTCTCCGCCTCCATTATCCCTTTGTGCCCGTCCACTTCGTGTCCGTCCTGTTCGCCTCTGTCCTCTTCACCTCCGTCACCGTCGATTCCGTAGTTATTCTGTCCTTTTACTCTGAATTCTTTGTGTTCGTCATAATAGTTTTTCGTAAATTGCATTCCGAAACTGCTCTTTGGAATCTCCCAATTGCAAAAAAGGAGCCCTGCTACTATCATCCAATACAGAGACCTACATGCGCTATTCATTGTAATACCGGTTCTCTTCCTTAATGTTGGTTATCTGAAACAAGTTAATTTCTTTTGTGCTAACTGCATCTGTAACATTTATTTAAATAATATTACTTAATTTTATTTATTTTTTCATTTCTTTATACTGAAAATTAACGATACCTCTCCATTACTTTTAAAATACCTCTGTAGATTTTTGTATATATTTCATGAATGGCTGAAATAGAAGTGTCGTAATGATACAAGTTCGAATTTTATAGGTTACATTTCCTTTATTTGCCTAATTAATGAAAGTTAGGTAATGTGTAACTCTCTAATTAATGAGAATTAAAATGTGATGAAAACGGGGTACAGAAACATTACGCATTTTTATTTCTTTTTAATATAGGATATTTTTCTAAGAGTAACAAACATGTCTACTTTTCGTTAATCTGCTTTACCTAACATAATATACTTCTATCAAAAACATTACGACGAAAGCTACCTCTTTTAAACTTTTGCAATAGAAACGTAGAAACTATCATTTGTTTGTTTGGACATCCTAATTGTGGACAACTTTTTAATCACTTCTATTGTTATTATGTAATCTAAATCTGTCTGCAAAAAATTTAATATTTTTAATCACAATAAAGAATACCAAGAGTCCATTCTACCCTTTTTTACTACATTTCCTTCATCGGTCAAATTCACTATTATGGATTCCTATTTTTCTAGCGTCATCGCTTAAAAGTATATCCCGCATCGGTCAAATTCACTATTATAGATTCCTATTTTTCTAGCGTCATCGCTTAAAAGTATATCCCGCGCATTCTTGAATGTCTTACAACTCATACTTATTTTTTACTACATGCTATACAAACCAACTTCTTTCTCAAAATTTTAACTCAAAGCAAACCATTATTTCGTATATGTCTGTCCCTCAATTCATCAACCCCCCCTCTCTCTCTCTCTTCCCTTTCTTTCTTTCTCTCATTGTGATCAAAACACTCCTCCTCCTTTTTGACGACAAAAATCGGCATATGTCGTCCTTCCCTGTTGATCATTGGTCATTAACATGTAACGATTGCTTCTACTGCATCATCGAGAACCGTCTATGGATGGATTTGTCAATAGCTTTCCGTGATTTCTTTTACCAACATCAGGCGAATGGCGTAGAAGTAACCTAACAAACGAGCCACGGACCGCACGCCAACTTTCCTTCCTCTTCCTTGCCCTATCCTCACCGTTTACACACAAACTTGTAGACACTACGCTGCCACACAGAGCTTAGAGCTGGTCCCGACTCGAGCAGTGCCGCGCTCGAGGGAGATACCTGGCTGGGGAAAAATCTCCGCCAGCCGGCCTAGAAAGCCAGCGTCGGATCTTATCGCCAGTCAGTGGTGAAAGATAACCGCCACCTCACGAGGAAGCGCATGCCCTACTCTTACGGGACTAATGACCTTAGTAGTTGATGCACCCGGAATCAGTCAATCAATGAACCAAAATTGAATTGCCTCATCCCGTATTGCACTGCCCAATATAAATTGGTCGGACGCAAGTGATTCTCATTGGACACTTTTGGGTCTGATGGTAGGGTACTGGCCATTGTTTATGTATTCATCTTTTATGAATATAGATTATTATTATTGCTATTATTATTATTGTTATTATTATTGTTATTATTATTGTTATTATTGTTATTATTATTGTTATTATTATTGTTATTATTATTGTTATTATTATTGTTATTATTATTGTTATTATTATTATTGTTATTATTATTGTTATTATTATTATCATCATCAATAATAATAATGCAGGGGTAGATCGAATGGCAGAAAAAATATAACACGGGAATAAATTATTCTGCAGGCGCCTTCCTGCCCACCGTCTGGGGCAGGAGTGTCATTGAGATCATTGCATGTGCCTCTGCTTGCTGATTTCGTATTCTTCACAACTAATAAACACGATTGAAATTTAAAAATTGCTGCTTAAGAGACGGTAACACCTGAATAAGCTTCTTTCATTACAAGGCAGAAAAGACAAAATTATGAATTGCATATTTTAGATGTTTTATATAATAACAGTAAAGTAGGCACTCAATTCAAACATGGCGTTCCCACTGACGTTTTAACGTAATACGTATGCGTGCAGGACTTCATACGAATGATAACATTAGACAAATAGTAACTTTAACTGTGATTATAATAACAGGCGCTAAGTGTATTAACAGTGGATCAATATTGCATATTATAATTGTAAAGTACCAGAAAACCCGGCGTGATTCGAGTATTAACTTCATCGCCCCTCCTGCTTTTTACTTTTCCGAATTCGTTGGTGTATACAGAGTAATACACGTAGTATAAGAAAAGATATGTAATGCTGCGGAAAATCAATTTAGAGATTTCAACGGATATACACGTTTTGGGGTTCCATAATACTGAAAAAGTGGTTCTTTTCAAAACGTCTGTCCGTCCTTTTGTGTGTCTGTCAGTCTGTCTGGTGTACGTGAACAACGCTAGCGCCTAAACAATGCGTAGAATATTTTTCAAATTGAAAAAAACATCTGGATCGAGTCGAAAGTTTGAGATTTAAAAAAAATTCTTTAAAATTTGGAGGTAGTTCACATGAAGCCCTTGAACATTTTCAAAATTTTCTCAAAAAAGCTCCAAGTTTGTTCTTTAAATTTCTTGTAGTAAGTAAAAATAATAGTAAATATAGTAATAAGAGTAAAATACACTTATAAAATAGGTATAGACCCAATTTTCACGGTGCACTAGGAATTTGCGAAAATTTCAACAGTATGAATGTTTTTATGAATGTCATCCTAAAACTACAAAATAAAAGAGATTTTTCCTTGAAATAAAGTTAGTTCTCTATAGTGAGTTCTTTCATGAAGATATGTAATTTTTTTAGAATATTTTAGTAGTCTTCGCGCAATATTGCGTGTAATTTGTGCAATTATTTATAAATTGCAAAAGTAAGATTCTTTCGAAAACCGCTCCAAATGTTTTCTTTAAACTTTTGGCAGGGATAGTACTAAATCTACTCTATAAAACGACATAAACTTCACATTGCTCTATTCATTTGTTTTTACCAAAATTACAAAATATAGTTTTTTGAGTTGTCTCTCATGTCGATGATATTTATACTAGCGGCAATTTGTTCACATTATTGTATTTATGAGTACATGTGCTGAAAATAATGTCATATAAATTTTCTCGAAAACTCTACCGTGTTCTGTGAAAACTAGCTCAAAATTCCGCATTTTTAGAAACGCTCAATCGCCGTTTTCTCAAAACGGCTCCAAATTTTGTGTTCAAACATTTTTAACGGATAATGCTAATTGCACTCTTCTAATTTATACGTAACGTTCCTTTCAGCGTACTTTTTTTTAAAATATACACAAATGTATATGTGAGTTAAAGTACTAAAGTGACTTCAAATTAAGTTTTTCGAAAACTCA